TACAACAAGCAACAATCCCAAATCATATTGGCAGAATAAGTGCTTCCTTCCTCTTAAATTTAAAGCTAGCGCCTTAATTATAGAAAACAACATAAAACGCTGCTCTATCTAATTATTACTTATTCCTGGCATTTGACGTCCATTCACTTGATTCATAGCGTAAACTAAGAAGTGCACTGGCAGCCGTCCCTGAATTGCATATTTAAACATATTAATTAAATGCAAGAATCTAATGTAATAACTCATAGTTGATATTGTGCCAAATATCCCAATCATTCCCGTTTATATTTAGAAGATATGTATAATTCAAATTTCATAACTTTTGAGTGGGACAACCCATGTTTCGTCAAAACCAAGGTTATTTAAGTTGCGTGATTTTTTATGAGTGCACAAATTATGCATAAAATCTAAGCCATAGCTTTTAAAAGAAGCTTCACCAATCTAATCTTCTCTTCAAATTTGCCCAGTTTGTCTCCTTAATATATTTTTTTCAGCCTGAAATTATTCAATATTGGGGATATCCAGTAGAAGTTCACAAAGTATTGACTATGGATGGCTATATACTCACCTTGCATCGGATACCGTATGGCAGAAGTATGTGAATGCATATTGCTTACTAAACTACATTTTTATACAAGCATCGGACATGATTCCAAAATGGTAAAATTTAACATTTTAGATTGTAGACAGGTGACAGCAAATCGACCTGTAATTTTTCTGCAATCCGGTCTACTTTGCTCCAGTGCACATTGGGTGCTCAATTTGCCACATCAATCTGCTGGTAGAGCATACTTATTTTAATTTACTGTGCAAACAATAATTTTTTAGATTTCAACATTTAGGCTTTGTCTTTGCTGACGAGTGCTTTGACGTATGGCTAGGCAATATGCGAGGAAATGTTTATTCCAAAGAACACATTAGGCTCAACAGCCTAATAAGCGATTTTTGGAAATTCAGGTGAGCATGTCTCGACAGTTATAAATCACAAAGTCAGAATTATAATTCCAACCAGAAACTATTAATTTATAATAAATTAGTGTGAAAAAAAGTTTTTATATAGAAATATTCAAAACAATTGGAGCTAATGACGATAAGTCCCGTGTATGGTCACTAATAATTATCTCCTACTCTCTCTTCACACTGTTTTCCTCAATTAAGCGGTTGTTAATGAAAACTAAGGAAAAAAACTTTTTTTGCTTGCCTTTACGGACTTTCTTCCTAAAAATGGAGTTTACCGACTTTTAAGCGATAGCTAAAAGAGAGTCTCTGTTATTCGGCTGATTTTACTCTAACCAAACATTTTTGCAAATTTCCGCAAACAATTTTTGGCAACAATATCCACTTTCCGCTTTCTTTAAAACTGGGCATTGTTAGACGCTGCAATACTTCTGTTTAGTACAAATAGGTAAAGATAACCTTTATTTGGGCAGTCAAGAATCAAGGCCCAATGTTTCGTCGACTTCGTCTCTGTCAGAGGAGCCATAGACACTGAAGTAAAGTCCACACTGGAAGTTGGAGGTGTAGACTTCCATTATTGACCGAATAAAACAAAAACCACCTGGCAAACACAAACCATTGCAACGTCACAATTTCTAATATTTTAAATGCGCTCACTCCCTGTGCGACAATTTTTGACTAAGCATTTGGAGGATCCACTACTTGTCTAAAATTAGCGGGGGACATTAGAAATGCTGATTCTAATGCCAAACACGTTTTAAAAATTAAGATCTAAGTTGCTTTCTGAAATTATTCAATAACTATGATGGCTTTCTTTGATTTGCTTGGAAAATTTCATGCCACAGATTCCTAGTGATATTTTGAAGATAACGAGTTAGATACATGTAGCTGAGCGTATGACATGATCAAAAATATTTTTTTCCTAACAACATTGGAGAAAAAATTTTTCTACAATTTCTTTATTTTTGAAAAAAATATGTAAGGAATGTTTGATGGAAATGTATGTGGAGCAGATGGACCATTGTCATTCTAAAGAGTTCTCGTGACAAGCAATATTGCTGAAGACGTGAAAGCGTTCAATGCCATTTGAATTTCGCCCACGAAACCGCTGATGCCCTAATGCTAAGTACATAGGACTCAGGCTGCACCTTTGAAATTCCACCATAGGAGGGTTCATCGCATCAGGAAGCAACGGAAAAGTTAGGAGGGCAAAGAAAGTGAATGATATTAAGTTGTTTTTAGAATAAAGGAGCTACTATGTAGTGACATGAAAACACTATTAAGAACTCTTTAGCTGTTCAACCATAAGCGGCATCTTTGCAGCTTAGGAAAAGTTTCCAATGAGTAGGGTTTTATGTACCATTTTCGTTTACTTTTAAATCTTCTGGGTTGAACCATGGTATACTATACTTCTGTATCGTAGCTGAACCGAGTTTTAGAAATTTTTTAAAAGAATAATAGAGTTGAAGATGGTAAAGAAAAGAAAAAGCTAACGGTATTTTGAAGTACTGATTTCAGTTGGGAAGAAATGGCCAGATATGATCTACCAGCAATGGTCGACTATGTTCTTGACAAAACGGGAGCAAATTCTTTAAATTATTTTGGTCATTCACAAGGAGGCTTAAC